ATAACTTATCACAGTCACTGGTTTGGACATTTTATCAGTTCATGTAAAGTATAGGAAACTTATTTCCTTTTATATCCCTTAACCCTTTCCTTATAATGGTCTTACATATTTCTTTTATATACATTATAGAACTACATCAGATAATGTTAAGAGTTTTTGCTTCAACCAGCAAAAATAATTTAGAAAATTCAAAAGAAGAAAAGTGTCACACTTACTCACATATGTATTCTTTTCCCTTATTCTTTCTCCTGAACTGATGGTCCAAGGTTCTTCCTTTTATCATTTCTTTTCTGTTGAGAAAGCTTCCTTTAGTGATTCTTTCAGGACAGGTCTATTGCAGCAAATTTTCTTGGTTTTCCTTCATTTGAGAATGTCTTGGTTTCCCCTTCAGTCTTGAAGGATATTTTCACTGGTAATAGGATTCTAGATTGATAGTTCTTTTCTTCTTGTATTTGAAAACTGTTGTGCCACTTCCTTCTGGCTTTCATGGTTTCTGATGAGAAATTCAGTCATTCAAATTGTTTTTCACCTATAGGTAATATATCATTTCTTTTCTGCTTTCAAAAGATTTACTTTTTATTTTTAGAAATTAGATTATGTTTTTGTGTGAACTGGGTTTATCCTGTTTGGGGTTTTCTTGGCTTCTTCAATCTTTTGTGTCTTTCACCAAATTTGGGAAGTTTAAGAGTACCATTTATTCAAGTACTTTTTCAGTACCATCCTTTCCCCATTCTCTCCAGTACTACAATTTAAGTAGCAGTCCACACAGGACCTTGAATCTCTGTTCATCCCCCCCAACCCCCCACCATCTCTTTTCTCCATGTTGTTTAGATTGAGTGATTTCTACCATTTCTTTCAAGTTCATGAATTTGACTCCTGAGCCCATCCGGTGAGCTTTTTGTTTATATTTTATTGTATTCTTCTCTTCCAAAGCTTCTTTTTTCTTTATATCTTCCGTTTCTTTGCAGAGACATTCTATTTCTTCCAAAAATAGAGTAAAACTCTATTTTTTTGTTTCAATCATGTTCATAATTACTGAAATATTTTATAAATACTTTTATTTATAAAAGTTTGTTTATTTATCTTGAGGAGGAAAGAGACGGAGGGGAGAGGCAGAGAAAGAGGGAGAGAGAGAGAATCCCAAGAAGGCTCCACGCTTTCATCACAGAGCCTGCAGTGGGACTTGATGCCATGAACCATGAGATCATGATTTGAGCCAAAATCAAGACTTGGTCACTGACCACACTGAGCCACACAGGTGCCCCGACACTGAAGTATTTTTATAACAGTTGCATTAAAGTCTCCATCAAAACATTCTACTACTTCATTTGTCTCAATGTTGGCATCTACTGACCATCTCTCCTCATTCAAGTTAAGACTTTCCTGGCTCTTGGTATGAGGACTAATTTTCTATCGAAACCTAGACATTGTAAGTATTATGTTATGAGACTCTGGATATGATTTAAAGCTTCTGTTTTAGTTGTTTTCTTGCTTCTGTTTTAGTTGGTTTTTCCTGGTGGCAGAAATCGGGGTGACCTTTTTCTGTCAGGTGAGGGTATACATCTAGGCTCCCCAGTTCTTGGCCTCCTGGTAATGCAGGCATAGGAAAGGCTCTCCACTACTGCTGGGTAGGACTGGGAACTCCAGTTCTGCACTCTGCTGCTGCTGCTGCTGCTGGAAATTGTAGGAGTGCTTGCTATTGCTCCCCATTTGCCCCTTACTGCTGGGTGATGGTGAAAGATCTGACTCTCCTCTAGGTCTTCTGCGACACCATCCCAGCAGGGAAAAGAAAGGGCACTTTGTTACTGCTTGCTGGGTGGGAGACTGGAATACAAGCCTCCCACGTGGTCCTCACAGACCTCCACTGTAGGTGAAGCTTTTTTTTTTTTTTTTTTTTTTAACTCCTGGCAGGGTTAGAAGTCCCAGCTTCTGACCTGATTTACTCTGACACCACCTCAGCGGAACTGTTGGGGTGTATAATTACAGCCTCATGAGGGTGGGTGTCTAGGCTCCCCATTCAGCATTGGCTGGTGGGACAGAGCCACAGTGTTTTCTTCGATGTTTGGCTGGAGAGGACTGTTATTGTGCAGAGGCATTCTGTTTTTTTCTAGGCTTTCCCTTTTCTGGTCCTTGGCTAACCTGAATAGGCTTTTTCTGGAGATCTTTCCGTTGTGCCCATTGGCGTTTCTGGATTGCCAGCTTCTTCACCTGCAAGTCTGGGATATAGAAGACCAAAAGAAAACCCAAGGAACTCACCACCTATTCTTCCTTGGGTCTTTAGGTTTCTAGCTGGTCTACTTTCTTATTTCTACCTTTTCAGTCTTCCGGTTTTCTTATGTTTGTTTTTACATATAATATCTGACAGTTTTAGTTGTACTTAGCAGGAGAAAGAGGGAAAAGTATCTATGTCCATCTTTTCAGAAACAAAATTCCACTTGACTTTAAATGTATTGTTTTACCAAACTCTCAGAACAACTCAACACAGGAGATAATTACGCCCATTTTACAGATGAAGGCACTAAGGTTCAAACAGTAAGTGGTATAAAGATGATAGAAAAAAAATGGGGAAAGAGTCAAATAAGGAAGTACAAGTGGAGGTAAAAGAGCTCATCTCCCCTGCCTCCTCCTCCTCCCCCTGCACCCCCCCCCGCCTTTTTTTTCCCTATAGGGTAACTTCATCTTGGCTCTTTAAAGAGGAACAGGGAAAAGGGTGGGGGCATGTAACAAGATGCTTTTGATCCCAGGCCGTAGTTCCTCAGCTTCTCAGCCCTGGCAGGTTTATTCCTACCTCCCAGCAGGATGTTCTCTCTGGCAAGGGACACCCTCACCACCCTCACCTGTCTCCCGCCTTTCTCCCCTTCTGCTATCCTGGGCTCTGTTACTCTCAACTGCATCAGTGACTTATTTTCTGAGCCCTTTCTCTTTCAGTCACAAACACCTGCTTCTTTGTGAAGTACACAAAGAGAGTCTCGAGTTACTGGTTCCTTCTTTAGGTACCTCAGTTGATGTCCCCTGGCAGGCCCACCTTGAACACGTGTGGCCTGGGGAGAACAAAGGCAGGCCACTGGTCCAGCTTCCCATTTTCAATTTTCAGCTTCACTCTTCCTGACAAGGGGCCTTGCACAGGTCCAAAGCACACCCACACCACCCCGCATGAACTGCTGTCTCTGCAGCCCAGTCTGTCCTGAGACTTAGAGAAGAGGCCCAAGCAGGGCCTCAGACAGCCACTTGGGAGGGAGGCATTCTGAAAGTCTTATATATCCAGAGACAGAATGTATAGGCTCTGACTGGAGCATCTAAATGGCCTTGTGAGCCCTTGCAGAAAGGCATGCAGTTGGGATTTAGTCCAAATGGAGCCCATAGCCTTTCTATTCAAAGCCTGGTTTACAGACCAGCAGCATCAGCACCACCATGGAACTTGTTAAAAATGAAGACTCTCGGGGCGCCTGGGTGGCTTAGTCGGTTAAGTGTCTGATTTTCGCTTAGGTCATGATCTCGCGGTTCGTAGGTTCGAGCCCCGCGTCGGGCTCTTTGCTGACAGCCAGCTCAGAGCCTGGAGCCTATTTCAGAGTCTGTGTCTCCTTCTCTCTCTGACCCTCCCTGCTCACGCTCTCTCCCTCTCTTCTAGAAATAAATAAAAATATTAAAAAAAAAAATGAAGACTCTCAGGTCCAACCCCAGAGCTTCCAAAACAGGATATGTTAAATAAGATCCTCAGGTGATGCATATTTTAAATGTTATAATTCGAGAAGCCATAGGCTGATGCAGGTGCCCAGACACCACAAGAATGGAAAAGGAGTTGCTTTTTTATGGCTAGTATTTTACAAGCTTATGGGAGAATCTCAACTTTGCCCAGTCTAAAAGTAAAAGAGAGTGAGCTTTTCCAACAGTTCTTCAACGCTTTGTTTCCTGGGGAGGGGAGGGAAATTTCAATGGATCCTAACTCCTACCCCACAAACCTCCTCTGTATGTACCCTCAGGCAAATGATTTCTCCCAGACCCTTGGGTTTTTTCTCCATACAGTAAAAAGGCTGAATCAGATAATCTCTCTTTAACCCTCCCTCCAGGGAAGGAAAACATTCTTGAATGAGAAGCAGCATAACACTGAAAAAAGCATGCATCTTACAGGCAGTCTGAGCCTCTTTCACATTATAGCTCTACCATATATTTCTTGTGTGACCCTATACAACTTAACCTCTCTAGTCCTCAGTTTGCTGTCTCAAAAAGTGGGCTAATAAAACTGCTGTCTTGGCAGGGATGTACACAGAGAGCCCAGAGAACACAGAAAACTACAGAACCGTGGCCCACAGTATAGGTTCAGTAATAGTAGTGTTTATTTCAACACAAATATTTATGTCTTTTATAGAGAATTGGCTGATCCTATAGGCAGAACAGACACAGAAGCTTGTAGAAATGTTCTGAGTTCCTGCTTGTTCATTTTCTTACCTGACAGGGTCTCTTTGTTCCTAGAAAGGTCTGAGCTTTGTCGGCAATACCAGAGGCTGGAAGACTTAGCTCTGAGCCAGTGGTCAGATCCATTAAATGAATTCTCTGCTCCTATTCAGACTAAACACAGGGACCTAATTCTCATAGTCTGTTATCTCCCTCTCCACACACGGAGTTACCAAGAGAGTTCAAGAAAGACACCACAAGAAGAGAGACGAAGTTTCTATAGGAGGAAAAGGAAGAAAAATGAATTGCCATATCTTGATTTTCCCTCCCACATATCTACAGAAGGCAAGGCATCTAAGTAAATTGGAGAAGGAGAGAATAGAAGGGGTAGAGAGAAGGCAGCACTAGGAGTTGTGAGATAGTATTGATGCCCAACTGATTTATTTATAGTTTTGAGACACCAGACAAGGGGGCGGGGGAAGAAATGAGATGGTAGAGCAGCATGGCTGTGAATTTTTAAACTTAGAGTTAGCTAGAGGGAAAATACCATTTTTGCCACATTTTCATTCCATACAGGGTTACAATATTAATTGGCTTAGGAGACTTACAATCAGCAATTTCTTTTGCGGTGCACAGGTTAATGGAGTTGCCAGAGTGTTTCAGATATGAAATTGTTGCCTCATAATTATGTGGTTCTTCAAATTCAGCACTAAGAAGCATGGGGAAAAAAGGTTACTTAAAATAAAACATTGCTTTAAACATTTGAAAACTTTTTCTATTTTTTCTTCATTAGAGAAGTAATATGTCTGACAAATATGATGATTTAAACATATGTAGAAGGCATACCATCCTTACTCTAAACATATGGGAATTCTGAAAAAATGTAACAATGCAAAGAATTATATGAAGAACACATAACTCATCTAGAAATCAATAAAGTCTCCAGGTGCCACATATAGAGAAGAAAGTCACAACTAAAGATGTAAGTGAGAATTCATGCAAAGGGAAACTGAAACAGATAAGGAAAGATCTTAAATGACTGGGTGGCTGAGGATTTACTTTCTGAGTCAGAAGTGAAGTCCGAGACAGGCTTCATCTGAATGGGAGGCTAGATCCAAGCTATCAGCATTAAGTTCAGAGTCACAAAATACCATTTCATCTGTAAAACAAATTGTAAAAAACATGTGTGCCCTTTCCCATGGAATAGCAGGGAAGCTTGGTATCTGGCTATGATGACAGGAGCTAAGAGAGTCACTCATGAGAAACTGGAAACCTGAAAACCTAGCACCAAGTACAGGTGGGGTTCTAAATGCATAGTGTGTATTTCAGAGAGACCCAGAGACTAAAGAGTGCATGAAACCCAACCTTCTCTTGTAAGGCAAATCTGAAATCGTTTCATAAAGATGTCTACACAACCCAAGGCACCTATGATCTCCAAAGGAAATAATTCCCATGTAAAACATGCTTATAGAAAATAAAATAAAATAAAATAAAAATGGATACCACACAAAGAAATGAGCTACCACAGATAGTCAGAAGATATAACAGAATGACGGAAATAACCGGATGACATGTAAGTGGTTTTAAACTAAGTATGTTTTAAATGTTCAAAGAAATAAAGGAATAAAAGCCATTAGGTTAAAACAAACAAACAAACAAAAACCCAGATAAAAACAAAACAGAAGAGTGTGAAAAAAAACATATAGATTTAGGGACAGGAGAAAGGAGTTCTATAAATCATAAACACAGGTCTTGAAATAAATGATGTAGATGTTGAAAAGTAGACCAGACACAGCCTAAGAAAGAACTGGGGAATTGGATCTAGAGAAGTCATTCAGAATATAGCACTGAGAGATGAAATGAAAAAATATTAAGAGAAGTTAGCAGTGGGGAAGATAGAATGAGAAGTTTCAAAATATAAAGACTAGGGATTCTAAAAGGGAAAGAGAAAAAGGATGAAGAAAAGGAGTCAGTATTCACACGATAATAGCTAAGACTTCTAAAATTAAGACAGACACAAATTCTGCTATTGAAGCAGCTTCAATGGTAACAAATAATGATAAATCCACACTTACACAGTTTGTAGTAAGTTAGCATAAGTCAAAGGAAAAAAGAAAAATGTAAAAGCTGTGTGAGAGAAAATATAGATTACCAAGGAGCAGCAACAGACTTCTTTCTAGCAGCAGTAAGTGGTGGAGATTGTGGATAATGTCTTAAGTATGTGGAGGAAAAATATGAGTATCAAATTATCTTCTGGCTAAATTGTCATTAAAAGTGAGGGAGAAACAAAGATCTTTTCAGAATACCAGTACACACATTTAGTGCTCATAGATCCTTGCTAAAACACATCAAAACATTCAAAGAAATTGAAGTAGTAATGAAGTAGATATAGCAAACAATGGTGGGGGAGTAGCTAGAAAAGATGGCAGAGCAGGAGAACCCTTAGCGCACTTCGTCCCACAGACATAGTGAGATAACAACTACATCTATGGAACTAAATGAAAATGACCTCAAGACTGGCAGAACACACCTTCCATGGTGAATTGTACAGAAGACAAATGGAAAAGGGTAAGGGGGTAGAGGTATAGTTGAGAAGCAAATTCCAAGCAAAACTAACCAAACATGAGAGGGACACCACAAGCATGAACAAACAGGGTCAGACGTGACCCCCGGCACCCCAGGCACTATGGGTCTGCACTGGGAAGATGAGTCTCCACAACATCTGGTTTTGAATACCAATGGGGCTTAACCCCAGGAGCTTTTAAAACCAGGAGGCTTAACTGTGGGAGAATTAGAGGGTGAAAGGAAACTGAGTCTTCTCAATTAAAGAGCCAGCATAATAAATAACTTGGCTGAGACAAAGCACAAGAGCAGCTGTATGAAAGGGGCCTGGGGTGCACATCAAGTTTTATTTACTGATCTCAGAACATGTGCTGGCAGGGCAGGAATCTTCAGGAGATTTCTCAAGGAATGAAAGCAGCGGTGGGTGCCATTTCTCTTCCGCTCCCACACTAGATGGCCAGATACTTGTAGGAGCCAGCTCTAAAACTCTCCAACTTGCTAGCAACACATGCCCCACCCAAACCACCCACCTCAGCAGGTGTCCCTTCAAAGCAGCTCCTGCCTGGCCATACCCTGCATGTAGCCTCAGCAGAACTCAGTTATCACTCCAAAGTGACTCCTGCCCTAGGGAGAAGGGGAGATAACCTTAAACACTAGCACACCCATAGTTCAAGTACTGGCTGTTCAGGAAGTGGGTCCTGCTGTTGGGTGAGCCTACAACTGTGGCAGAGAGGCTAACTACAGACATCCAGTCTGAATGCTGATCTTACCCACTTAGGAGTCCCCCATAGCCCCAGAAAGACCTCTCAACAACTCAGGACCAAACACTGCCCAGTGTGCTCACAGTAGGGAAAACAGGTTATTGCAGCCAGCTGGTCTGAAGGCAATCACAGCTCAGACACAGCAGTAAGGCACACACAGCCCACACAGGAGACATGCCTGGAGTGCCTGGTTCCAGTAACTAGGAAGAATTGTGCTACAGGACACAACATGATCTCTCTAAACAAGGACACTACTTTAAAGACCAGGAAATGTAGCTGACCTCCATAATACACAGAAATAAACACAGAGAGTTAGACAAAATGAAGAGACAGAGGGCTATGTCCCAAATAAAAGACTAAGACAAAATTATAGCAAAAGAGCTAAATGAAACTGAAATAAACAATATGTCTGATAAAGAATTCAAAGTAATGGTCATATAGACACTCACTAGACTTCAGGAAAGAGGATAATCTCAGTGAAAACTTCAACAAAGAAAGAAAAACTATAAAAAAGGAACCAGTCAGAGATGAAGCATTCAATAACTAAAAAATACAAATTCACAAGAGGGAATCAACAACAGATTAGAGGATGCTGAAGAACAGATCAGCTATCTAGAAGGCAGGGTGATAGAAAGTACTCAAGCTGAACAGCAAAAAGTAAACAAACAAGTAGACAGATAAATAAAGGTTAAGGAAACTCAGAGATATAATGTAACACAATAACATTCACATTATAGGGGTCTTAGGAGAAGAGAGAGAAAAGGAGGCAGACAATTTATTTGAAGAAATTATAGCTGAAAACTTCCTAAATCTGAGGAAGGAGACAGAAATCCAGATCAGGAAGGCAAAGAGAGCCGCTGGCAAAATTAACCTAAGGAGGTCCATTACAAGATACATAATTAAAGTGGCAAAACATAATGATAAAAAGAGAGAATTTTAAAGGCAGGAAGAGAAAAGAGTTACATACAAGAGAAACTCCATAAGGCTATCTGTTGATTCTCTAGCAGAAGTTTTGCAGGTCAAAGGGAATGGCATGATGTATCAAAGTACTGAGAAAAAAGAAAAAAACAACTTGCAACCAAGAATAATCTACTTAGCAAGATTATTATTCAGAATAGGAGAGATAAAATATTTCTCAAACAAAAGTTAAAGGGGTTCATCACCACTAAACCAGATTTATATGAAGTGTTAAAGGGAATGTTGTGAGTGGAAAGAAAGGCCATAACTAGCAGAAATTCATTAAAGCAAAAAATTTCAGAAGTAAAAGTCAACATTTAGTAAAGATAGATTAATCACTGATAAAGCTAATGTGGAGGTTAAAACACAAAAGTAGTACAATCACTTATATTTACAAATATCAGTTGAGAAATACACAAAGTAAAAAGATGTAAAATAATATATCAAAAAATGTGTAGTGGGAAGTAAAAAATTTAGTGCCTTTAGAATGTGTTCAAACTTAAGTGACCATTAACTTTATAAAGACTGCTATACACGTAAGATGCTACATGAGAACCTAAAGAGAAGCACAAATAAAGAACCTGTAATAGAGACAAAAAAATAAAAATAAAAAGAAAGGAAGACAAGTATAATACTAAAGAAAGACATCAAGCCACAAGAGAAAACAGCAAGAGAAAAGAATAAAGAATTACAAAAATGTACAAAAAATAATTAACAGAATGACAGTAAGTAAATACCTATCAATACTTACTTTAAATGTAAATGGACTAAATTTTCCAATCAAAAGACAAGGTTGACTGAATGGATATAGAAACAAATCTATATATATGCTGCCTATAAGACACTCACTTCAGACCTAAAGACACATAAAGAATGAAAGTGAAAGTTCAGAAAAACCATACTATTGAAATGAAAGTAAAAAAAATACAAAAAAACCTAAGGGCAGCGATACTTTTATTAGACAAAATAGACTTTAAAACAAAGACTATAGCAAAAGACAAAGAAGGGCACCACATAACGATAAAGGGATCAACCCAACAAGAAGATAAAACAATCGTAAATATTTATGCATGCAACATACAAATAAAGCAAATAATAAGAGACTTGAAGGTGGAATTGACAGTAATACAGTAATAGTAGGGGGATTTTATCACCCACTTGCCTCAATGGTTAGATCATCTAGACAGAAAATCAACAAGGAAACAGTAGGTTTGAAGCACACATTAGACCAGATGGACCTAAAAGCTATACATGGACCATTCCATCTGAAACAGCAGAATACACATTTTTTTTTAAGTGCACATGTAAAATTCTCCAGAATAGATCACATTAGGCTACAAAACAAGCCTCAGTAAATTTAAGAAAGTTGAAATCATACCAAGGATCTTTTCCAACCACAACAATACGGAACTAGAAATTGATTACAAGA